TGCTCCAATATACCTTCTTCCCCCTCTCTCTTTCTTCTTCTTCTGGGACCCCAATTATTCTAATATTGTTTTGTCTTATGGTACCACTTATCTCTCAAATTCTGCCCTCATGATCCAGTAGTTGTTTATCTCTCTTTTTCTCAGCTTCTTTATTTTCCATCATTTGGTCTTCTATATCGCTAATTCTCTTTTCTGCCTCATTTATCCTAGCAGTTAGAGCCTCCATTTTGATTGCACCTCTTTAATAGCCTTTTTTGATTTCTAATTGGTTAGATTTTAGTTCTTTTATTTCTCCAGAAAGGGTTTCTCTAGTATCTTCCATGCTTTTTTCAAGCCCAGCTAGTATCTTTATAATCGTCATTCTGAACTCTAGTTCCGACATCTTACTAATATCTGTATTGATTAGGTCCCTGGTAGTTCGTACTGCCTCTTGTTCTTTTTTTTTAAGGTGAGTTTTTCCATCTTGTCATTTGTCCAGAGGAGAATAGATGAATGAGAGAACAAAATGCTAGCAGGGTAAAAAGGACCCCAGAAAAATGTACACTAAACAAATCAGAAGAGACCTGAAACTGGGGGGAAAGAAAGGGAAAGAAAGAAAAAAGAAAAAAAAGAAGAAAAAGGAAAAGAATATGATCAAATATGATCAGGCTGGTGCATAGATCAGTGCCACACACTAGATTTGGGGCGTATTTTGGTCTGTTAGAAGAAACTGCCTTCCAAAATTTTAAAGAAAGAAAAACTTATATATGTACAAAAATAAGGGTAAATAGAAGGGATGGAATATGACTATAAAGATAAAAATTATAAAAGATTTTATAAAAGGAATTGATAAGATAAGAAGTTGGTTGAAGAAAGAAAGAAGAGAAATAAAAAAAAAAAGGGGAGAGAATGTGATCAGGCAGGAGACTAGAACAAAACAATACACTAGAGATTTAGGGTATATTTTGGTCTGTTAGAAGAAACTGTATCCCAAAATTTTAAAGAGAGAACAACTTATATATATACCAAAAATAAGGTTAACTACAATGAAGGGATAGACTATGACTCTAAAAATGAAAAATAGAAAGATTTTTTTTTAAAGGGATTGATAAGATGTTGGCTGAAAAAGGGAAAAAGAAAAATTAAAAAAAATAGAAAAAGAAAAAAAAGAAAATTTAAAAAATTAATTTTGAAAGCCTAAAGAATCATGGGAGAAAAGCCATGAATTCTATGTGCTGTATTCCCCTAGCACTGGAGTTCTGCCATTCTCATTGTTCAGTAAACTTGGTCTTGGCTGGCTGTTCTTGGGGATCTTCTGGGGGAGGGGCCTGTTGCCGTGGTTCCCAAATGTCTTTGCCGGAGGCAGAATTGCCCTGCCCTTGCCGGGTAGGGCTAAGTAATCTGCTCGAATTTGCTCTCGGGAGCTTTTGTTCCCTGCAAGCTTTCCATACAGCTTTGGAGGACAATAGTGAAAATGGCGGCCTCCCAATCTCTGCCCTGGAGGAGCTGAGAACTCGGGGCCCCGCTCTTCAGTGAGCCACCAGAGAAAAACAGTCAATCACTCCCATCTCCTGGGTCTCTGGCTGCACTCTGTGCTCACCCAGCCTGTGACTGAGCATTTCTATCTCTGGCACCTGAAACCGTTTGGAGACTCCAAACCCAGCAGATCCCTGCAGTGAGCCCCCGCACTGCTCCTCCTGGAGGAGGAAGGGGAGTCTCCCCGGATCTGCCCCTTGCTGGGTCCCTGCTGGAAGAGCAGTGACCCGCCTGTGCCACGGATCATGGTTTATGGCAACCCCAAGCTGAGAGCCTGCGCCTCAGCTCCGTCTTTGCAGCCGGCTTCCCCACTCCGATACCTGGGAGCTCTGCCACACTCAGGCACCCTGGTCTTTCTGTGACCCTGAGGGTCCCGTGACCACACTGTCTCAGCAAGGGTTCCACCCCCTGCTTAGCCACTGGAGCGATGTCCCTCAGCAGAAACAACTTCTAAAAGTTCCAATTTTGTGCCCCACTGCTCTATCACTTGCCGGTAGTGGCTGATGGAGGCCCACTCCCCCACTGTCTATCCCCCCAAATATTACCTCGGATTAACTTCTCTGCACGTCCTACCTTCCAGAAAGTGGTCGCTTTTCTGTTCAGAGAGTTGCTGCTATTCTTTTCTTCGATCTTCTGTTGAGTTCGTAGGTGTTCAGAATGGTTTGATCCCTATCTAGCTGAATTCCTGGGACCAGATGAAATTTAGGTCTCTTACTCCTCCGCCATCTTGCTCCCAGACCCCACAGATTGGTTTTTGACTTTTGGAATCATCCTCTGTGTCTGGTGATTGTCCATTTGTTTTGTTTCTTAAATTGCGCATATGAGTGAAATCATATGGGATTTGTCTTTCTCTGACTGACTTATTTTGCTTAGCATAATACCCTCTAGTTCCATCCATGTCATTGCAAATGGCAAGACTTCATTCTTTTTGGATGGCTGAGTAATATTCCATTGTGTACATATATACCACATCTTTTTTATCCATTCATCAGTCAGTAGACATCTGGGGAGAGTTAATTATTTGAATTGAATTTGCATGGAGATACTTTTGTATTATGGCCCATTCCATAGTTTGTTTTAAGTAAATATATCCAAAAATATGACACTAGAAAATAACCTTTCATAGACTACCTTTTCTCCACAAAAATTAATGGTGATGACTTCATTTACACAGAGAGGCCCTATGATAATCTATCCTGTTATAACACAGATTTGGCTTTGATACAACTGGTAATTGGGTCCTGTCCTCCACAGCAGGCTTATCCTCATCAGATCTTTAGTCTTGCAATAATGACACCAAATTTTATGTGACTGGATTTTTCAGACCCCAGTTATAGTTGTATGGTAAGGTTCATGACAACTTTACCCCATGGCACTACTACTATGTTTGCTCAGTATCTTAGTAGAATAATGAGTTGCCACCATATTGCAGGTGAGGAAACAGAGCAGACAGATGGTCAATACCTGTCCAAGAAGAGATGATAACAGCAATGGATTGGGCTTAACAGAAGAAAATTTTGGGATAGTTTGTCTTCAGCGCTCTCCTACCCACTCTCTTCTTCCAGTCTAGCATCTGGATCTCCTTTTTTTTTTTGCTTCAGATTTTAAGCTTCCTTCACCTTTCATCTGTCTCTTGAACTTGGTAAAATGTATGGGGCAGATCCAGTGCTTACCAAATATTCCATTTGTCCCCTAAGTTTGCCAGTCTTCCATGGAGCTTACAACCAAATGACTAAAGCTCCCCAATGGAATATAAATGGAAGTGACACTTGTGACTTCTGAACCAAGACAGTTAGGAGCCAGTGTGTTTCCTTTACTTCTTTTCTCCCCAGCTCCAGTGACCTTGGAAATGTGTGGAGATGGCAACATTCCAGAGGGAGAGAATCTGAAACTTTGCATCACAGAGTAGATAAGAGCCCTCGTGGGCTGCATTAGACTTCATGTAAGGGAGAAATAAACTTTTCCTGTGCTGATGCACTGAAATTTCAGGGATCATCCATTACAGCACCTAGTATTAATAATTTCAATAAAGAACAAGGTATTCATTTGCATGAATGAATTATAATGAATTATAATTCATTTAAAATGAATTATAAAATTCATTTTATAACTATGTGTTTACCTTCTTTTTGCAAAGAGCACCTAGCTTAGTTTTGCCTTTTCTAGAATTCCAAATAAATGGAATCATACAGCATAAATCTTTTGTGTCTGGTTTCTTTTGCTCAACCTAATGTTAATGAGATGCACCCAGGATTTTCCATGTTAATTCCTTTTGATTGCTAAATATTATCCCATTATATGGATATATCACAATTTATCTATCCCATTTACCTGTTCTTGAACATTTGGGTTGTTCCTGTTTTTGGCTCTTACAAAAAAATTGTTTTAAAAATCTAGGTACCTTCTGTATATGAATATATGTTTCATTTCTCTTGAATAAATACTTAGGAGTGTAATGGCTGGGTCACAGGGTAAGTGTATGTTTAACTTGAAAGAAATACAAAACTGTTTTCCAGAGTGGCCTTATCATTTTCCATTCCATGAACAATATATGAGAGTTCCAGCTACTCTGCGTCCTCATCAGATCTTGGTCTTTTCTTCTTATTTTTAAAACTTAGCTATTTTAATAGGTGTATAGTGGTATCTCATTCCAGTTTAATTTACATTTCCTTAGTGGCTAAGGATGTTGAGCATCTTTTCACATGTTTTTCTTTGTCATAATATCTCCTTTCTGTCAAATGTCTGTTCAGATGTTTTGCCCACTAATCAAAATCAGGTTGTACATTTTCTTATTGAATTGAAAGAGTTTTTATACATTCTGAATAGAAATCCTTTATCAGACATATGCTTTGCAAATATTTTCTCCTGGCCTATGGCTTGCCCTATCATTTTCTTAGCAGTGCCCTTTGAAGAGCAGAAAATTTTAGTATTAAAAAAATCCAAATCATTACTTTTTTTTTTAATTCATACTTTTTGTGACCTAAGAAATCTTTGTGTAACTCAAAGTCAAAAAGATTTTGTTCTGTGCTTTCTTTTAGAAGTCTTACAGTTTTGCTGATATATTTTGACAAAATTTTTGTTTGTGATATGAGGTATATTTATTTTTGCATTTATTTATCTTTCATTTTTGTTCTGGCACCATTTTTGAAAATTTTATCATCCTTCATTGAATTACCTTGACACTTTTGTTGAAAATCCATTTCCCATATCGGTCTGAATTTATTTCTGGATTCTCTATTCTGTTCTCTTGATCTACATATTTATGCTTATGCCAATTTCACATTAGCTTGCTTACTGAAGTAATTCTTGAAACCAGACAATGGAAGTTCTCCAACTTTGTCCTCCCACTCCCATCCCAAAGTTATTTAGGCTGTTTTAAGTTTTTTTTTATTTCCACATAAACTGTAGAATCAGTTTATCACTTTTTACAAAAAAAAAAAACAACACAAAAAACTTATAATGATTTTAATTAGAAATGCATTGAATCTGGGGCGCCTGGATGGCTCAGTCGTTAAGCTTCTGCCTTCAGCTCAGGTCATGATCCCAGGGTCCTGAGACCAAGCCCCGCATTGGGCTCTCTGCTCTGCGGGAAGCCTGCTTCTCCCTCTCCCACTCCACCTGCTTGTGTTCCCTCTCGCTGTCTCTCTCTCTGTCAAATAATCTTTAAAAAAAAGAAAGAAATGCATTGAATCTGTACACTAATCCAGGAAGAAGTGACATCTTAACAATATTGAGCTTCAATACATGGTATAACTCTCCATTTATTTAGTTGTTACGTAATGTTTTTAGCAGTGCTTTATAGTTTTTCAATATTATGTGTCTTGTACACACTTAAAGAAAATATTTCCTAAGTAGTTCGTATTTTATGATGTCATCATTAATAGTATTGTTTCTTTGTTCCAATTACCAACTGTTCATTGTTAATATATAGAAATCCAATTGATTTGTACGTAGACCCTGGATCATGTGAGTTTGCTAAATTCACTTATTAGTTTTAATAGATTTTTGGCACAGCCTCTAGAATTTTTCACATAGACAGTAAAGTCATCTGAAAACATAGAAAAGGAAATAAAGTTTTAATTATGGAATTTCAGACATAAAAGAAGTCCCAGAGGAGACACTGGAAAGGTGCCGTATAGGTGTGATTTGTGAAAGTAGACACTAAATTAACTTGTGCCTGAAGTTGACTTCAGACCCTGTGGAAAAAACAAATAAACAAACAAACAATAACAACAAAACAAAACTCAAGTCTTCTCTTTCCATAGATCTGTGTCCTAAATGTTAATTGTAGTGCATCCTTGGACTTATATTAAAGGTTAATCAGCACAAATTGTGCTAAAGATTAAATTAAATACATTCAGTGACTCCTCAGACTGAAATAATTTGTCATAATTTGAATTAAACTTCTAAGCAAAGTGACTCCAATCATTTCTTGAAGAGGTGCAAGAAAATTACGGTGTTATATTCATTCTTACAAGTCAGTAAGATCAAGCCTAAATAATTGTAATTAAGGAAGAGCAGAGATATACAAATATTATTTGTCGATCGTACTCTCCTCTTTCAAGGCTACAATAAAAATAACTTGATAGTTAAATATTTGTTGATAACGGTTCACCGTATTTTATTCATTTAATTTCTAATATCATCCAGCTCTTTCCCATTGTTGCCAGACCTAGCCATTTCATCGCGTCTGTGGTTAATTTATATTCCACTGAAGGAATATCTTCCAGAAGAATGTGCTTGTCTGGTTAAAAGCTATGGTGTCTTAAAGACCATAAGTCTTTCGAATTTTCAGAAGGCCGTAGAGCCAATTTTTTAATCAAGGAATACACTCATAATGTTTTTATGGATACTTCATTTTTAAATAATGCCAATCTTACATTATATCGATGCTGGCTTCCCTCAAATACATGTAGAGCTTTAAAATGTGCATCGTTTTTTTTTAAATGGTCAGTTTTATTCCCCCCAAATGTTGATTTACTCAAAATAGATTTTTTTTCTCCTCTGAGACTGCACTCCAGTCTATATGTAAATTGAAACACAGTCAGATTAAATTAAAATAACCGTGAATTATGGGGCAGTTTCCTCACATGAAGTCTTTTCTTACTTAACCTTTCCACATGAAAGAGAGAATCTGTATTTGGTGTCTACTGAACCTGTTTGACATTCCGGAGATGTCAGAATCCTGAAGAATACATCTTTGCTGGTCTGGGTAATGCTTTTGTTGCATAAAAGAACTAAGCTGGAGAGGGATTTGTGATTTTTCAATTCTGGAAATAGTATGATGAAAAAACTAATGATCCCACACAGAGTTCAATGTTTGTGCAATGTTTATTCAGCCAAACAGAGCTGTTTTCTCTGCTATTAATCCTCAGCTTTTCTTAGGCTATGGCATAAAATATTGGTGGAAAGCAATGTTTCAGTAGCATGTTACATTTCATTAAATAAATGTGGGCAAGTGAGTGGATTCCCACAACTATTTTTGAAGTCAAGCACATTTCCTAACCTAAGAATTCAACCTTTTAATTTGTATTCATTTTCCCCCTAAAGAAAATTATATTTTCATCCTATGTCCCTTTTACCTTGCAAATCAGGAAGCAATAATTTAATGTAGAAACCCAAAAATCTGTTCATGGGGTCATTTTAAATGTTTTGAAGTAAAAAAGATTTTTTTGTGAATGGCACATTTTATGCATAACTTTCTTAAATTTGTCTTTACTTTTTTCCAAGTTACTCCGAACATATCCATATGAAAACATTTGGAATGACGTGATGCACTAAGAATTCAAATTCCACCGCATGTTTTCCTCAAATCTCTTACGTTTTCTTCTTTACATTTTCCCAGTGAACATGCCAATTCTAATGAGATTACCATTTTAGCTTCCCGGAATCACTTATGTATCCTTTTGTGAAACATTTTAGAATCAGTATTGTCAAATTCTCAATATGGTGGCAAAGAATTGAGCTGGAATAGGTGAGAAAGACAGAAAGGAGAAAGGGGGAGGGAGAGAAAGGAAGGGAGAGAATCCTTTGGAATCTTAATGAAGTTCAGCCAAATTGCAAACCTTATAAAGCAATTACAGCCAACACTTGGCTTTTATTGAACAGTTACTACCTGGTAGGCACTGCAGAAAGTGCCTTCCATAATTTGTCTCACTTAATTATCCCTCTTCTGTGAAGTAAGCAGTCTGATTATGCCCATCATAAGGTGGAGGAAATGAGAAAATACTGAAATGAAGTGACTTTTCCAAAGTTAAACAGCTAATAAATAGCAGAAATGTGACATGAATCCAGGTTTGCTTGATTCCTGTGCGTCCTGCAAATCCGTATCACCAGCACTGCAACCAGCTCCGTCAGGAGCATACGTTTCCGAAAAGGCTTGTTTTCTTCTGAAATTACTCAGAATAAGGCCAAGGCTTGTGTTTTTGGTTTTATGTTCCCCTGACAACTTGTAGCCAAACCCTCACCCCTCAAAAACTTTGAAATCTTATTCTAGGGTTTTTTGTGCAAGTCTCTTTGTAAATAATAATAATAAAAAAAATGCAATAGAAACAGAGAGGTATTAGGTTCAAGCCAGCATGAAATTTGCCCTATGTTAGTCAGTCAAGCCATGCTGAGGGCCCCAGGGGGCTGGCTCCAGTCAGAGTAGCACTGTGAGAAGGCTCTCAGCACGGCACTCTCCTCTCCCAGCCAAGCCCCACTCCGAGGCCTGCGAGCACCCTGCTTCCACTGTGCCTGCATCTCATTACCGAGCAAGGATCAATTTTCCAGCACTTTGTCTTTTACAAACTGGAAGAGCTGTGGTTAAAGATGTAGAAATTTTATTTAAAATCTGAAAATCTCTTGGTCGACCATACCCCCTTCTTTTTTTTTTCTTTTTTTTTTAAGGTTTTATTTATTTATTTGACACACAGAGAGAGAGAGAGCACAAGCAGGGGTTGCTGCAGGCAGAGGGAGAAGCAGACTCCCTGCTGAGCAAGGAGGAGGATGCGGGACTCGATCCCAGGACACTGGGATCATGACCTGAGCCGAAGGCAGACGCTTAACGACTGAACCACCCAGGTGCCCCGAACATACCCCCTTCTTATTCCTGTTCCCCAATTTACAGCCATCTTTAACTTCTTTTTTTTTTTTTTTTTTGGTCTCAAAAAGGACTGTTTTGTGCCCTGATCTCGACTGCATTTGATTTCATAAAGAACCACTCCTTTGGAATAGACAACAGCATAAGGGGCTGTCCCAGTGGCCCCCTCTTTCTCAAGCCGGCAGAGGGCTGATGGCACAGTGCTGACAGATGCTGGTGACATTTTCTTCCACCTGTAATTATCAACACTTCTATTTGCAAAGCATTTTGTCCTATTTTATGTAGGGGAATGCTTGTGGCAATTACATTTTAACTAAGGTAATTATACTCCATCTGCTGAAACTTTTCACTTACAACTTTTGAAGTATTCCAAATGTATAAAGTATTCTTTCTTCTTCCCATGTTGTTCTGTTGAGTTCTTAAAGACAACAATGTCTTGTTCGGTAGGAATGGTTAAGGAAGTTTGTCTTCTGATTAAGCCAATGAGCCAATGTTCTGATGACTTTAGATTTAATGTGAGAGTCCTTTTGGTTAAGGCTTTGAACAATCTTTTTTTTTTTTTATTTTTTAAGATTTTATTTATTTGCGTGAGAGAGAGAGCACAGAGGGAGGGAGAGAAGCAGAGCCCTGCTGAGCAGGGAACCCGATGTGGGGCTCGATCCCAGAACTCCGAGGTCATGACCTGAGCCAAAGGCAGACGCTTGACCGACTGAGCCACGGAGGTGGCCCTGAACAATCGTTTTTTAAAAAATGAGTTGTAAACGTAATGCAGTTGTTGCTGGCTGAGGTGCACTTCTCGGGGTCTGAGTTCATAATCTGAATGCAGTTCCTGGAGAGAACTGTACAAATTGACGGCCAGTGGACCTATCACTCGTTTCCCCTGAGTCCTTCCTAACTTGGGTTTAAATCCCGCCTTCTTTAGGTATTATTTGATCTTGGGCAAGTTCTTAATTTTCCCTGAGCCTCAGTTTTTTTTATCATCTGTAAAAAGAATAATGACTGCCTCAAAAGGATGTTGTGAAGATTGAATGTTAATTCATATTAACATGTTGCACAATGTCTGGCCAAGTCTAAGGGCTGAGTTAAGTCTTAGTTATCATTGATAAGCCGTCTTTAACTGTGCTGAGCTCAACATATACTTTGTGAAAATTGCTTTCCTTTAGGTAAATACTCCACAAATCAAATTATTTTATTGCCATTTGCTTCTTTTGAAAAGAGAGTTTAGTTGTAAGGCAGTTAAAACTACTGTAGCCGTCTGGATCTGGATTGAGGGGGTATAAAATGTTATGTGTCATCTTACAGATGTAATAGTTATTTTATAGCGAGCAAAAATAACTTGTTTAGATTTGATGAATGCCTATGTAACCCGAAGATGGATTGGTTGGCTGACCTCCAGATACGAATTTCAAATTCCGATTTTGTATTAACAAAAATCCTTAATAATCGGCATTGTTACTTTAATGGCTTTCCAGAGTGAGGTAGCTAATGCCAGAAGTTTGCACCTAATTAGAGTGTCCGCCTTTTCCTCCCTCCTTTCCTTCTTCCCTTTCTTCCTTCCCCTAGCTGGGCATGACAAAGAG